AATTACTCAAGTGAGCACATTAATTCCTTTACTGGATAGGCTTGATTGCCCTAGAACTAATCCCACTGTTCCCGGAGGCAGGGGACAGTGCAACCCTTTTAGAGTCTTCTTCTTTTAGCACTAATTCGCTGGGGCAGAGTAAGTCCAGTCCTGCACTTCCAGTGGTGGCTGCTCTGAGAGAGAAGACTGTGGGCTTTCCATCTGACTGAAGAAAGCTGCTGGCATTGCCCCTGTTTGGAACAGGACCTGGGGCTGGCCCCTCATGAAGTTTCCCACCTGATTACTTAGGGGGTTGCCGTTTTTATCAAATTTGAACCCGCACTTATTTGCCCAATGTTTCCTCTTTTTACATCAGGGGCATATAGAAGGGGGTTCTTTTCCTGAGTTACCTTGGTCTCTGTTATTGGGGCATTCCCGCTTCATATGGCCTGGTTCGCCGCATAGAAAACAATTTAGGTTTCTCTCCTTTTTCGCTTTCGGAGGCCTTAATGCCATAGCCAATATTTTTGTTTTGTGTGTTTCAGTCCCCACCAGTTGATATGCTCGTATAAATTCCCCAACTATGGCTGCGTTTCCTCTGATTGCCTGCATTGCTTGCTGGCAGTCGATGTTAGCATTTTCATAGGCCAATTGCAACAATAAGATATCAGTGGCCTGAGCATGACTAATTTGTCTCTTAATTGCCTGGGTTAACTGATTGATAAATTCAACGAATGGCTCCTGAGGCCCTTGTCAAACATTTATAAAAGATCCCTGTTGAACTCTGCTCTGGGGAATTCAGTCCCAAGCCCTGAGAGTGCACAAAGACACTTGTGCATAGACCTGGGGATCAAAATTTAGTTGTCATTGTACATCAGCATGGGGACCCCTCGCCTGGAGCATAGCAGCTGTTATGTTTTGCCCAGCCAATTGATTCTGACTAGCTTGTTGTTTGCATAACTGATCATAGTCTGCCCTTCAGAGGTATTGGCTGGGCTCCAAAGTTGTTTTAGCTAGCACTGACCAGTCCCATGGGGTCATACAGAAGTTGTCTGACATGGCTTCAATTATTCCTATTGTAATGGGCTAGCGGCTCTGTTTTCTTTAATTCTTTTTCTTATCTCTTTATAAGCATTAAAAGAAATGGGTTCATATACCCGATCGTCTTGTCGATTTTGCATTACCGGGCAGGCCAAGAGCTCCCCTATGAATGCCACTTACCTAAGACAGGGTCCCATAGCTGTAGTGTATCCCTTGTCTTTTTTTCCAATTTATTGGAATTTATTGGAGGAGGGGGCTTTGACAAAACCTCCATTTCCTCTTTGGTATATTTGCCCAGAAACAGGGGGCTGAGGGAGATAGAGGTGGTGAGGTAGGTGATGGTTCCTCCTCTCTTCCCTTTTTAGGCTCTTCTGTGTATAGCGGGACCAAAGCAACCCTAACTAAAGAACATAACGTTAGAGATGTTGTTGGGACCCGCTGCCCTTGTACATGATGTTAAGATTTCTCCCAACTTGTTCCCAGAGCTCTACATGTAGTATACCTTCTCCCAGGAACCATGGGTTATGGGAAGCAACAGTTTGCATTAGGTCCCTTAATTGAGGCTGCGAAACTGAGGCTCTGCTAGTTTTAAGCAGCTGTTTCGATACTTTTATATACTCTTTTATATACTTTTATATACACTGATGCCTGTTGTTTGTTGATGAAACCCTAGCCTGAACAATTCCCTCGATCTTGGAAATCCCGAGTGGGCACCTATGACTTACTGACTTACTGACTGCACAGTCTCTTCGCCTTCGTTTTTGAGGGTTCCATTGTGATCCGCTGCAGCGTTCCTCACACGGGGCACCACCTGCCAGGTCTGACTGGCAGACCCTGACCAAGCAATGGATGAAAAAATGTACTCACACACAGGTATCTCGTGAAAGAGATGGCTAGGAGACTGTGCTGTTCACAGGAAGAGTTTTAGCAGCCTCAGCCCCAACAACAAGCCAGCGCTGCGGGCAAATATTCAGTACAGATTTAATGACAAAGGCTTTGAGTCAACACGTCTTGTGGGTAACTAATATGGTCGCCCTCCCCCCGCCCCCCCGCCCCCAGAGACAGCAGTCCTGTGCACAGATGATTAAAGACCAGGTTCTGGGGCCTAAGTAAACTAACTTATTTAGATCAATTTCTTTACACTTCCTTGTTATCTACCTTTTGCTCTCAGGCTCTGGATAAGAGACTTTGGCTGCCTTCAGCCCAATTATCTTTCAAAGCTTTTGCAGAACCTCCTGGCATTCCAAGAAGGTTTGTGTTTTTCCTATAATTCCTTCTTATAATTTCTCCCACCACCCTGACTGATCTACACATTAATCTGTGAGAACATGAATTGCTACAGATTTTGGATTGAAATGTCTGCAATATTTATAAAACTGTAAACTGTTTCCACCCTTTCCACTTTAACCTAATGTTCACATTGTTATGTATTTCTTAGTAAAAAAAATGCACATTTGCACAATAATTCACGTTCAGTGATGTTGATTTTAGTTCTATTAATCATAACAACAAGTAGAGAACAATTTATTTATCTGTCAGGTATAGAATGGTTTAATTAATTATGACATATTAATGCTTTAAGATTCTAGAGAGTGGTTACAAAATCGAGGGAGATATATACGTACTGTCATGGTAAGATTCTGTATCCATTTTATTAAGTGGCAAAGGCAAGTAGTATATCAATATATACATAATTATCAAAATGACCAATATGCTAGTATTTTCATAGCACATCTGTATATAAGAAGCCTAAAATCAGCTTTAAAATAATACATATCAGATTAATAATTATGGTGAACTCTGTGATGGGGTTTAAATTGTGCAAGGACTTTGAAAAGGAAGAAATTATAATATATGTGTATATTTAGATTGTTTGCAACAAGAATACATATACACACTGCTATTTTTGTGATGAGACTCTTTAAATAAGAAAAACAGCAAAAATAGTAGCTGTGTATTAGTCAGTAAAAATAACCACTAGTTGATGCAACAGACAAACCCTAAAATTTGAATGGCTTGACACAAGAAAAGTTTCTTTTATGTGCCCATAAGTTCTGATGCGGTTTGGCAGGGGCTCTCTACTCTCACGTGACCCAGGGATCCAGGCTGCTTCCACCTTCTGAATCCATCATCTCAAATGAAGCTGCCGTGTTTACTATTGGATGGAGGAAGAAAACTTGAAAATGGCACACTGGTTCTCAAATGCCTCGATGTGACACACAACACTTCTGCTCATGTTTCAGTGGTAACAAGTGGTCACATGACCCTTCCAAACTGCAAGTGGGCTGTACTGTTCCCATGTGTCCAGGAAGGAGACAAAGATAAAATGTGAGTGAGTGGTGTAGTCTCCTCCATAAACTGTTGTGTAGGAGGTGCTCAAAAAAAGCAATTATGATAATTTGGTATTAAACAACCCTTCTCATTGCTGGGAGTTTCTGAGAAGCCCACATTTGCCTTGAAGTTCTCTAACTTTTTCAAGTGCCTGCTACGTGACTGATGCTTTGAAATGTAGGATCAAAACTGTCCAAGAACCTTGAAAAGTCTCAGCAGGAAGGCTCATCAGGGAATCTTCCCTTTATAATGCCCATTAAACAATTAGTAGGCTTAGAACTTTTCCTCCATTGGATTCCTGGTCAAAATTTTAACCTGTGAGTTTCTGCTACCCTCCACATGCCTAAACACCTGTCAGGTGCCTTTAGACACAATGAAAGCCCATATTTTCCTGTGGGGCAAGTACTAGACAAGAGAAAGTAGAAACTTGGTTAATTATTCTACTAAAATTTGAGCTAGTACTCCCACCAAGGCAGCATTTTTCACCTCCTGGGAGACTCTGGGGTTTTAGGACTTCAGCCTTAGTAGATGTTGACTCCACAGTGATTCCCATGTTCTCCAGCTTATGCGGGAGACTTTAGATTTTCACCACCAAGGTAACGTCATTCATCCTTGTATGTGTTCAGTGACCAGTTTCAAATAAAACACCCCATTAAATTCCTATTACAAATAACAAGGTGGTTTAAAAAAACTCTCTCTGTATAGCTTCATATCTCAAGAATAGTATTATCATGTGCTAATCACATTCCACTCACCATCTATTTAGAAAAGTTTGAGAGTGTATTTAGACACACAGTTGGGGTGACAGGATGTGTAAAGGGGAGGGCAGGTGATTTCACTTAGCCTTCACAGCAAGCAGCAGGGAGGAGCAGGCAGCAGGCCAGATTCCAATTGGAAGAGAGGGCACATAGGGGAGACCAAGAGAAGGCCTCTATGATGAGGGAAAGTGTTAGGGCTGGACAGAAATTCCTGCACCTGGGTAGAGTCAGCTCTCAGGAACCCTAGGGCTCAGGCAGGAGGACCCTAGGTTAATAAAGCCCACAGACTATCCCCAGATTATGTTTCATTCTCATTGTCACCTTCCTTTTGTAGGCCTGCTTTCAGTACCATCTCCACAGGGTCCTTCTTTTGGCCACTTAAGAGACATTATGCAGTACTGAGAAAACAAAGGAATTAAAGGACAGAGGTATACTTCAGGCTGGAAAGAGTGAGAATAGAATGGGCTCTAGATGAATTCAGACCAACCTTGTGGTTTCCCAGTGATAAGATCTTGGGAAAGTAACTGAGCACCATGAGACTCAGGTTCATCCAGAAAATGGGTTTGATAGACCATTTTTTAGGACTGTTATAATGTAGCAAATGTATTAAAACACCGGGGACAATGCCTGGAATATATTGAATATTTAAGGATTGACAGCCATTTCTAGTATTACTTTGACCCCAGGTGCTACCACTCTCTACTTTGGAATATTTCTTATTGTCCAGGACATCTCAGAGAATCTGCAACTCAATAGGAAACTGCATTTCCTTCGTGAATATGTATGTGGGGGGGGGGGTGTACGTGTGTGTGTGTGTCTGTTTGTGTGTGTACTTTCATAGAACAACAGATGAACATGGATAAGACAAGAATTAATGACCTTCTCCTTTTATTTCTGTTTCACAACACCAGTTCAACTTTATTGCTAAGTTCTTACATTCTCCAAGAAAATATCTATTGCAAATCACGCAAGATGGAAGATTTCCCAAAATGTTTTACAAAATGGCAAACTCTTGCACTTGAAATGGATAAGCAAAACTACATGTGTGGTCAGCATCATCCACATACATAGATGTTGAAGCTAACTAAAACTTTTATTAAAGGAACACTATTTGAAAATTACCAAAAGGACACAAAAAGAAATCTCCAAGTCACCGTATGGAAGAGAAACCTAAAAGCGGTATACAATGTGTTCCCTTCCATTCACTGTGCCTTCTACTACTGATAACACTGACTTCTCCATAAAACACAGAGGGAAGAATGGGACTGATTTCACACAGGGCAGGGAAACTGCTGGGTGTGTCCCTGAAGCATGCATTGGCCCGTTTCCCTGCCCACTGGCCCTGGTTGCATCTCATGCTCAGACTCCCTCTTCCTCCTCTCTCAAAGCATCTTCATACAGGGATGGGTAAGAACTGGGATCCCTCCCATTGGCATTGGCTATGTACTCAAGAACTTTCATCTTGCTGGTCTCAGCGTGGGCCCTTGGACCCCACAGGAACTCATAACATGCAGGATCAGTGCCGGGCACCTGCCGGTACACCAGGTACTTTTCCTGCACCCAATCATGGGTGAGGAGCTTCTTGGGCTCCCCAAAGAGGAAGTGCTCCCTTCCAGCATACACCCCCATAATGCTCAGGACTTCCCACATAACCTCTTCAGGGACACAGTTCCCCTCCATGAAGATCACACCCAGGACTATTATCAGGAGGCCAGACTTGGGCATGCTCTGCTCATCACCCTGTATGCCATCATAAGAGAGGCTGAGGGAGGTGACAAGGACATAGGAGTGGCTAGTGGGGTCCACTTCCTTCACGTCAATGCCAAAGAGCAGTTGCATGCATTCAGAGGCTTCCCTAAATATCTCAGGAAAGTAGTCCTCATAATTTTTGATGACACTCCCCAGCATTTCTGCCTTTGTGATCAGCCCCTTGACTCGATACTTGCGGAGCAATAAATGAACCAAATCAATTATCTTGTCATGTAGTATATCTTGGGAAAAGGACTCAGGGTCTATCAGGTCGGGCGAAGTACTTGGCCCCTCCTCTTCTTGGCTGCTGGAGCCCTCATCAGATAGGCTCCCAAAGATGGAGTCCATGGCAGTGGGAGAGGAGGACTCCCCCTGAGGACTCTGGGGAGGACTTGGTGACTCAGTAGCAGGCACCTCCTCTAGAGTGCCCACATTCAGAGTAGAGGAGAAGGAGGCAGCCTCCTGCTCCTCAGCTTGGAGAGCCTGTGCGCCACCCACCAAGCCCGGGTTGTCTTCTTGGGCCTGAAGGCCTTCCTCAGGCTTGCAGTGCTGACTCCTTTGCTCAAGAGGCATGATGACTCCGGTTAGGTCAGCAGGCCAAACTGTGGGAAAGATCTGGGTGATGGGGCCCCACAGCCTGGGGAGAGAGGGAGTGTGAGAGCAGACTCAGATGAGATATGAACCATGGAGAATCTCACAGAGGCCTACTTACACTTCTCCTCCGGTGATCCTCTGGCTCCTCCTGGGGCTCCTGTCCTCTTGGTTGGCCTGTTCTCTAAAAACCTGAAAAAGGAAATGAGAAGGCTGCTCAAGATGCAGCTGGACATCAGAGCAGGAGGCTCCAGGACTGAGGTAGGGCAGGTGAGACTGCAAGCGGGGGGTCCCTCAGTGTACTGGGGCAGGTGGGGCCATTTGCAGGTTGAGGGTGAACATCTCATCTAGACTGCTGGCACTGCCTGGGCTTCCTGTGTTCTGAGACCTGAAGACATTGCCTGAGACCAAGGCCTCACTGCTCGGTTTTTGGAGCTTCTGGAAGAGGAATCATGGGGCCCTCAGGCTGCACACTGCAAGCACCTATCCTGGCACACCAGCACAGTCAGAAAGGCGGGCCAAACTCTGTGAGTTTCTCACTTTTTTGGAGTGGATGGTCCCCTCTGTGTTCAGGGCCCTCAACTTTCTCCTGCCAGGGCCTGGAAGACACACCTCTCCTGACCTGAGAAACTCTCAGATCCATAGCTCTTTCCTAATATGAAAGAGGACATGTGGGGATACACATCTGCCCACATGTACACAAGGCTACCCAGGAAGGACAGCAAGAGATGGTGACAGTCAGCTGGGTCCATGTGTCCTGGGGTAAGGAGCCTGCTTGGTCCCCATCTTGATGCCTATCTTGGCCTGGGACCCTCCCTCTGTTGACCTGAGGCCATCTCCTTAAACCCAACTCTACCTCCAGGAGACACCAGAAGAGGAAATCAGGGAAACAGAAACACCCATGATCCCAGCGACTTCCCATGGCAAACAGAAGGGGCAGGAAAGGGCTGGGTCCCATGTTTTTGGTAAGTGCGGTCCCGTCAGCTCCCACCTTGATTCTGGTCATGCCTGGGACCCTCCCGCTGCTGACCTAACTGCAGCCCTCTCAGACCAATGCCTCTGCTCCCTGAGACCAATGATCCCAGTATAAGAGAGGGGTCTCAGCAGATAGTTCTGCCCATGCTCTCTGGGGAGACAGCAGGGGCAGAGCAGATTTCTATGTGGCCCTCCTCTGTGTTCTGGCCAGGGGCAACCTTCAATCCTCCCTCAGGTTTCTCACCTGGACTCTTGGCAGATCCTGGGACCACTGTATTTGCAGACCAGATGGGGCTCCTTCTGTTGACTGGAAGTCGTCCTCTGAGAACATAGTGCTCACCTGCCCGAGATTCCAAAACAGAAGTAAGGGGCCCCACGTCCCATCACCTCGTCATGTGGTTGTCCAGAGCTGACAGCAGAAGCTGGCTCCTTCGGTTCTGGGGTGGGGATTCCAAAGTCCTCCTGTGGGTTTTTCATCTTTACTTCTGCCGGGGCCTGTCCTTCCTTGACTCCCAACCCCTGAGATGAGCAGACATATCCCTTTACACCAAGACCTCATCTCCCTGAATGTTTCCCAACTTTCTGCCTGTGGTACAAGTGAGCTTGCCACTTGGGGCCACCCATGATCAGGTCCCCATACAGCCAACCACAGGGGATAGAGAGACTCTGTGGGATCCCTTCATTATGGGATGGAGATACCTCCAGTCCTCACAAAGGGGACACACACACCTTGAGTCCTAAAGATCCTGGGACTCCTCCCTCTGCTGACCAGGTGTGGCTCCACCTGCTGACCTGTCATCACCCCCTTGAAACAAGGTGCTCACCTCCATGAGCAAGGTGCCACCCCCAACCTGGTGGCAGAATTGTGAGCACGGCACATGCCTCCCCTACCTGGGGCCTCCCAGGGATGAAAACGGGGGAAGCTGGGATTTGTGAGGTCCCTTTTTCTTTGGCACGCGGGAGGGTACATTCTTACCTTCAGTCTTCATCAATTTTCCTCTCCTTGACTACTGGTAGATCCTGGACTCCACCCTGTGCTGACCAGGTGTGTATCCCTCTGCTGACCTGAGGACCCGCCTCAGGCCAAGGGCCCCACCTCTCTGAGATGTGGGAGGCAGAAAGTGAAGGGGCACTACACGGACACCCCTGCATGGGATGCCAAAGGGTGACAGATGGAGCAGATTCAGGGGTGCCTCCTCTCTCTGGGTGTCCTCCAGGTATTCAGATTTACTCCTGACAAGGCCTATCCATGTCTCTCCTGCTGAACTGTGGATGAATTTTGCAGGCCAAGACCACCATCTCCCAGAGAACTCCAACTAGGAAGTGGGCAGCTGCCTCTCTTTCCTAGAGTCCTGCCTGGGGCCTCCAACGACTGATGGCAGGGGCAGGTTTTCTACCTCAGGGATAATTGGTTGCCTGAGTCCTCCCTCAGTGCTCTGGGACTCCCCACTGGGTTCACCTGAGGCCCCACTCCTCAGACCACAACCCACTCCTCTCTGACACCACAAAGGCAGAGTGCGGATGCACCACATGTGGCCACTGTGCCTTAGAACTCCAAGGGCCAAGGTCCCTACTGACCTGGAGTCCAAGGTGTCCTGAGTCCTCCTTCTTCTTCTTCCTCTTGATGCTGGCAGGGCTGCACCCGAGACCCTCTCTGCGGATCTGAGTCTCCATTCCTCAGATTCTCAAGGCTGAATGAGGAGGCACCTCAGTCTGAGACGGCGGGGTGGCAGGGGGTGGGGGAGAGCCGTCCTGGGGTGCTGGGTCCCTTCAGTTGTCCCTCAGGCCTCCCTCGCCTCCCAGCAGGGACTGGGCCCTGTCTGTGCTCCCTCTAAGTCGTTCTCATGATACCAAGCTCCTTCCCTCCGTCAGCCCAGGATGCGGAAATCAGAAACCATATGCCTAGCGGCCATGCTAGGAACTTCCCAGGGCTGACAGCAGAGAGGGAGCCTGGCTCTGTGGGGCCTCAGCCTTCCCTCAGGGTCTTGACCTTGATGCCTGGCAGAACCTGGGCCCTGCCCTCTCCTAACCAGCACTGCCCTGGTCACACCAAGCTCTGACCCCAAAGTCCCCTGAGGCTTAAGCAGCGGGGTACAGAAGCCGAGGGGGGTGGCGGGAGGGGACGGCCCAGACTGAGAAGTCCGTCCCCGTGGGGTGATCCAGGCCTGGCAGCAGAGGCGGTGTTGGATTATTTGGGGTCCTCTATCTGGGGAGGGGGTGTCCTCAGTCCTCCCTCAGCATCTCATCTTGCCTCCTCACAGAGCCTGGGCCTGCTGCCCTCAGCGGATCACAAGCCACCCCTCAGAACCTGGCTGTCACTTCTCTCTGACCCCCTAATGTGCAAGTCCGCAGCACCAAGCCGGGAGGTCCTTTGCGTTAACTGCAGGGACAAGGATGGACTCTGGGGCCCCTCTATCAGCATGGGGTGGAACCTCTCCATAATTTCTCAGAGTCCTGATGTTGATGTCTGGAAAGGCCGGGGCCCCACCCTTTATGGAACTGTCTCTGCCCAGGTCACATCATAGATTCGACTCCCAGAGTCTCCTTGGGCACTGAGGTGGGGGATTGTCTCAGCCTGACAATTTGGTCCCCCCTTGTCTCAGGGCTGGCGCCAGGGTTGGCAATGGATTATCTGGGGCCCTCTATCTGGGGAGGAGGACTCCTCAGTCCTCCTTCAGCTCTCACCTTGCCTCCTCACAGAGCCTGGGCCCGCTGCCCTCTGCCACTCTCAAGACACCCCTCAGAAAGACGCGTTCGCTTCTCTCAGATCCCAGAGGCGGAAGCCAATGGAGGTCACATCCGGCCCCCACGCCTGGAGCTTCCCCGGATTGACAGCAGGGGCGGAACCCGATTCTGCCGGTATGGGGGCGGGGCGGCGGGGAAGAGTAGTGGCGAGGGGTGGAGATGTGGTCGAGGGTCATGGGGGTGCCTGAATCCTCCCTCAGGTTTCTGACCTTGATTCCTCGCAGAGCCTGGAGCTCCGTCCTCTGCCAATGATGTCTGCTCCTCTCGGACCAAGTCTCTGACTCTGAGTCCCGTGAGGTGGCAGTGATCGGGAGGTGTGAGGTTGGGGGACAACATTGCCAAGGTCTTCCAGGGCTGACGGGAGGGACCGAGCTGGATTCTGTGGCCCCTCTATGTGGGGAGGGTGGACCGTCAGTACTCACTCAGGAGGGCCCTCCTCTTGGCTGCCGGTTCTTTCATGAAGTGATGGGTGGGAGATACTCTGTTTCAGTCACCTCTGAGCATTGCCCAACTGCATCCCTTGCAGAGAATAGCTGCGGATCCCAGGCTAGGTGCTTCCATGTGGCTTCAGTACCCGTGATTGTAGTGACCTCTGGGAGAAGACGCACACCTTCCCACGGGGGCTCCTCCCCAGCCAGATCTAGACTTTGCAAACTTTTGCCCTGAAAGCTTTATTTTTACACTGAAGAGGCTGAGCAGCTGCAAGAAATTTGTGGAAGTCCTGCGTTTAGAATTTATCTAACACTTCGTAGTTCATTATAGTGATTTTCATTTTTTAATTCTCATTCAGTGTCAAAAATCATACTTAACCTAACTATGCCTATTTCAGTCTGATGGTCAATACTCTAATTTAATCCATTCGTTATCTTCAATTAAAATGATAATTGTTAAAAAGCCAATCTTTATCTACTGACATGGTTTTAGTGGTTATTAGCACAAATTCCAGCCATATTCCTTTAATCAACCAGTGTTTCCTCCTGTCCTGAAGTTACCCCTTGACTACTGGCACCTATGGTCTGAGATGCTACCCGAGTTTTCCACAGTGAAGTAGGGGCAGAATTTTAAACATTTCTTTCTTCCTGTCCACCCCAACTTCCCTGCCACTCTTCCCCCGCAATCACAAGTATTCCTTCAAAATACAATGAAATTCTCAGGGATCGCTCCTGTTTTTTGGTTTAGATTTCATTGTTTATATTGTTTTCTTGTTCCTTTATTTATGTATTTTTAGTCTGTAGTTTTCCAGGGTTGTTTTGGGGAGCCTAAGATAGAAGCCCAAGGCTGAACACGGTGGTTCACACCTGTAATCCAAACACTTTGGTAGGCCAAGCCGGGAGGAACACTTGAACCCCATAGCTCAAGATTAATCTGAGCTACATAACAAGACCCCATCTCAGAAAGAAAGAAAGAAAAGAAAGAGAGAGAGAGAGAGAGAGAAAGGAAGCAAGCAAGCAAGCAAGCAAGAAAGAAAGAAAGAAGAAAAAAAGAAATGAAAAATTAGTTGGGTGTGGTGGTGTGTGATTGCAGTCCCAGCTGGTAGGGAGGCTAAGGTGGAAGGATCACTGGAGCCCAGGAGGTCAATGCTGCAGTGAGCTGTGTTCACACCACTGCACTCCTGCCTTGGAAATAGAGTGAGGTCCTGTCTAAAACAAAAACAAAAACAATCCAAAACCAACAGATGCCTGAGCTTGAGCGTCATCTTGGCTGGTTAAGGAATTATGTCTGTCAATTTTTGAAAATAGAATTGCCATCTTTGCAATATTCTATTGCCTGTCAATGATATCATATACTGCCTTGTTTATTTGGGTGCTCTTTGAACTGGATGTGTCAGTACTTGTATAGTTGCCTCAGTAAAAATCATACATGCTTTTGTTAGTCTTGTTAGGTAATTTTTGGATATTGTTGCTATTGTGAATGGGATATTTTCTATGACCTGTTCTTAATAGTTATTGTCTGTTTTGCAAATATTTTGATTTTGCTTTATTGATCTTCCATTCACTATTTTTCACATGTCTCTTATTCATTTGACTATTTCAGGTGCGCAATTTTTGAATTTTCTAAATAGACTGTTGCATTACCCTACCAAATATCACTCTTTCTTTCCAATATACATACCTCTTATTTATTTTGGTATACGTATCTCTGGCTTTGTATTCCAATACAACTTTGAAAAACAGCAATGATAGCATACATTTATGACCTGTCCCTGACACGAATGCTTCCAACATTTTATAATTAAGTATATTTGCTATTGATTTGATGAAACAAAATTTCCTTCTACTCTTAATTTTCTAGTTATTTTTATCATGGATGATTACTAATTTTTTCAAAGCATTTTCTGTATCCGTTAATATGATCATATGTTTTGCCTCTATAATCTTGTTAATATAGGGAATCACACTGAAGGTATATTTTAATGTCAAATTGTATTTTCATTCTTTGGATATATCCTGTTTTTCCATTTAGTACACTACCCAAATGAATTGGCTATTAATTTATTTAGGATATTTGTTGCTATGTAGTAACTTTGGTTTAAGTGTTCTTTTCATGGTGAGGTCCTCTTCTGATATTTGAAACAAAGAATACTAGTCTCAGAAAATGAGTTCCACAATTGCCCATCTTTTTGTTTGGTTTTTAAGAGTTTGCTTAGGATGACAATGAGTTCTCTCTAATTATTTGGTAAAACTGGCCTCTGAAACTTTCTTTTCCTGGATCATTTGTGGGTGGTTTGAACTGATAACACAGTTTTAGTTTGTAATGTTTGATTAAAGTTTTCTATTTCTCTATGGACCAATTTGATCTTTTTTTTTTTCCCCCCCCCCGAGACAGAGTCTCACTCCGTCACCCAGGCTGGAGTGCAGTGGCACGATCTCAGCTCACTGCAACCTCCGCCTCCCAGGTTCAAGCAATTCTCCTGCCTCAGCCTCCTGAGTAGCTAGGATTTCAGGCATGCACCACCACACCCAGCTAAGTTTTGTATTTTTAGTAGAGACAGGGTTTCACCATATTGTCCAGACTGGTCTCAAACTCCTGACCTCATGATCCACCTGCCTCGGCCTCCCAAAGTGCTGGGATTACAGGTGTGAGCCACCGTGCCGGGCCATTTTTTTTTTTAATAAAATATAGTTCATTTCACTTAGGATTTCAAATTTAATGCCATGATATTTATAATGAAATATCTTTATTATAGAAAGTGTCAAACATGTAAAACAGTATAGTATAATATACCCAATATACTTGATATTCAGCATCAAAACTCTTCAATCCATTACTAATCTGTTTCCAACTATACGTCTACCTACCCCACATCTCAAATGCTGGAATAATGTAAACTAACTCAGTAACCTTGGATAGAAACCTGGATCCAATATGCCAGTTCATGGTACAGTGCAGCTGACCTGGCTCTGAGACAGCCTATGGCTCAGAGAAAAGGGTCTGGCTTCAATAGACCAGCCTCCTTAGACCCCCACCTCCTACTCTCTGTTCCAGGGCCCTGAGGTACTGCACGCCTTTGTTCTCTTCTAGACACATGCTCCTATAATACTGCTAGCTAACGCTGCCTTCCAGACACCCTCGGGTCTTTCTCGAAATATCTTCTCTGTGAGGCCTTCTGTGAATAACTTTTCTTTTTCTTCATAGAATTTGTGTCTTTATTATTTATTTTTGTAATTTCACTTTCATTTTAGATTCAGGGGGTACATGTGCAACTTTGTTACATGGGTATATTGTGTGATGCTGAGATTTGTGATATTATTAATCCCATCACTCAAGTAGTGAGCGTAGTACCCAATAGTTAATTTTTCAACTCTTGCTTCCCTGTCTTCCTCCACCCTCTAGTATTCTCATGTGTCTTTCATTGCCATCTGTATGTTCATGAGTACCATCAGAAACGAAGTATTCTAAAATTCATGTGGAACCAAAGAAGAGCCCGAATGGCCAAGGCAATCCTAAGAAAAAAGAACAAAGCCAGAGGCATCAAATTACCTAACTCCAGACTATACTACAAGGTAACCCAAACAGTAGGATACTGGTAGATAAACAGACACATAGATTAATTGAACAGAATAAAGAGCCCAGAAATAAAACTGCCCACTTACAGACATCTGATCTTTGACAAAGTCAGCAAAAATAAGCAATGGAAAAAGGAATCTCTATTCCATGAATAGTGTGCGGATAGCGGGCTAACCATATGCAGAAAAATGAAACTGGATCCTGACCTTTCATCATATACAAAAATTAATTCAAGATGGATTAAAGATTTAAATGTAAGGCCTCAAACTATAAGAATCCTAGAAGGAAACCTAGGAAACACCATTCTGGATATCACTCTCGGGAAATAATTTATGACTATGTTCTCAAAAGCTATTGCAACTAAAACAAAAATTGACAAGTGAACCTAATTAAACTCAAAAGCTTCTGCTCAGCAAAAGAAACTATCCACAGAGCAAACAGACAACCTGCAGAATAGAAGAAAATATTCACAAACTACGCATCTGACAAAGGTCTAATATCCAGAATCTATAAGGTGCTTAAACAATTGCACAAACAAAAACAAATAACCTCATTAAAAACTGAATACCCTTTCTAAAACTGCAATCCTTCCTCTTAACTCATCCCAAACACTTATTCAGTTCTTTAGATTCAATTTGTTTCCATAGTATTTATCACCACGTGGACCAAAATTAAGACTGATTAGGCAAAAATAATTGGATAAATGTTTATTGGAAGCCAAATGTGAGGACTGACCTGGGAGGAGAAAACAACAAAGTTCGGAGTGTTCTGGAGTGTCTTACAAGTTGGAAGGGTTTTATGGGGGAGTTTAGAAGAAGAGAGGAGAACTTTTTGTATGGCAGTTGTCGTTTTTTATTAGGGAATACAATACGGAGATTAGAATCATTGTATCAAATTGCAACATACAGGCTAAAATGTCCATATACAAGACAATCAGTAAAACTTCATGATTTAAAAATAAATCAGCCAACTTTTCAATGTTGGTACCTTACATATTAATCCATATGTAAACAATTTGTGGAACACAGGATAAGACACTTTACTGACGGACAGGATGTCACCAGAAGTCACAAGACCTCCCCCAGGTGAGTTAATTTGGAAGCCTGCCAAAGGTGATTTGTAAGTTAACCATTAAATCTACTGCACCTTTAAGTTTGTTTCATGATTCATTGTGTGCCTACCCCTTACCTCACTAGAATATAAGTTCCACCAAGGGAGGAAATGTGTTCAATGTTGTATCCTCAGAGCCCAGGGCAGTGCCTGGCACACAGTACATGCTCGGTATTCATTTATGGAATGAATAAAGAACTGCCAGTTCTATGGTCCTAGTATTTGGAGCTTCTCTGTACTAAAGTCTCATGGAATTTTCAATCTTTCCGATGACCCAACAGCCAAAGTTTGGATGCTCCCACTATCTTCTAATTGTTGGCTCCTGGACCAGGTAAGCATCTGAATTTCAAGGGGACTCCAAAGGCCTGCTTTCCCAGCTTCTGGTTTGTGCTCCTGGAATCCTGGGTAAGTCAGCATGGCAGGGCTCCAACCACCCAGGGCTATCTGAACACTCTCTCCTGTCAGGAGGCAGCTGTGACCTTTCCCTGATGCCCTGTTTCTTTTTCCATCTTGTTTGGATCTGCAAGTTAACACTGTAGTCCCTGCAAGGTGGAATCTAACAGCCTAATTGTAC